TCCCCGCTCCTCTTAAACATGTGGCCAAGTGCTGCGGAGAGCACGGAGGCCCACGGGCAGGGGAGCGGTGATATGCAGGGGATGGTCTTCAAAACAAGAGGTTGGTCCTTACCTGGAGGGAAGATGCAGAGAAAGACAGGGAGGATTTGGAAAAGTCCCAGGGCTGTGGATCCTGCCCCTCTCCCCATACCCATCCATCCAGCTCGAGCTTTAACCACTATCCTCTCCCTGGAAGAAGAGTTTAAAAAAAGAAAAGAAAAAAAGAAAAAAAAAAAAGAAAAAGAAAAAAAAAAAAAATAGGGGAGGAAAAAAAAGAGGGAAAAGAAAAAAAGAAAAAAAAAAAGGAAAAATAAATCAATCGAAAGAAAGAATAAGAAAAAAATAAAATCTAAAAGCCCCACATGGCTCCGAGGAGCGATGCAGGGACGGGCGGCCCCAGCTCCTCCGGTGCCCTCTGCACTGGAGGATTACACAGTTTTCCTCCTCCTCCTCCTCTCCTCCCGCCCAGCCCCGGCCGTCCGTCACCCGCCGCCCACCAATGGCCGCCGCCCGCCCCGCGCCTCCTCCACTGCGCGGCGGCGGGGAAGGGGCAGGGCCGGCGGCCATGGGAGGCGGAGGGAGCGGCGGGGGGAGGCGGCAGGGACCGGGGGCGCGGCCTGGGGGAAGCGGTGCGGTGCCCCCCCCCCCCTTCAAAAGTCAGCGTTTGGAGCTAAAAGGCGCCGAGGGGAGGGGAGCTGAAGCGGGGGTTGTGGGAGCTCGCCCACCTGCGCGGGAGGTGCGAGCCTTTCGCAACCCGTGATGAGAACCCGGCTCAGTTAGAAGGGCGGCTCTGAGGTCCTCAGCCCTGCACCGGTGGTCCCCGGGGAGGTCTATCTTTGGGAGGGGTCCCTAAACGCAGCCTGCAATGCGGTGCATTGTGTAGCTTGTGCTTTCTCAACACCTCCGCTGAATTAGCTCTGGATGTGCAACGTATCCTTCTTTTTTTCTAGGGAAAAATCCCACTGTTTGTGACATACGGTTGCCCCGGTGAGTCCTGGAGCTCCTTCCTGCTCCCCAGCAGCAGCTCCGAGCACAGCAGACGTTGGTTTGCCCGCTGGGCTCCAAAACCCTTCTTCCTCCCACCCCTGGGTGCGCAGCGGGACGAGGCGAGCAGGTTGGACCTGCAGGTCCCAGGGCTGCGCTCCACCCAGGGAAAGGCAGAGCCAGGAGGAAAGCATCCCCTTAACAGCCCTCTCGGATCTGTTTACAATTTCCCTCAAAGGATATTTTAGCCACAGTGAATTGAAGACAACTCCTGAATGAGAGTGCCCACGGGTGCGCTGTGCTCTAACTAATGTGCTTTAACTTCCCCATTTTGGATCATCAGCCCTCCTTTGATGGACTGCTCTCTCACCCTCTGAATGTTTCCTCTCCTCTCTCCCAGGAGTTTTCTACAAAGAAGGATGCTGGCTGTTCTCCTGCCCTTCTCCCAGCTCTGAGTGCCATCTAACACGGGGCCCTTCCTGCCATGGCCCAGCACAGCCTACAGATGCTCACTGACTTCACTTCCAGTTGTCCTTGGAAATCGCCTTCTGCCTCACAGCACTCCGAAGGATGCTTTTCAGCCTGACGGTAGCTTCAAGTCTCCAAGAAGAGTCAGTGATTTCCTCCCTACAAATATCCCTGCAGAAAGCATGTGGAAGAGGAGACAAGAAGATATCCCTGGAATGGAGGGATCTAACAGCGCCTGCCTGGTTCTCCTCGGGGGCCTGAGCCCCTTGGCCTCCAGATGAAGGAGGGCTTTGTCCAGGCTGCAGCCAGAATTAAAATGCTGGAGCTTTTCCAGATGGGACCCAGATGGGATCCAAAGATCCTGGGGCTTTGCCTGCTTGATGGGAGATGTGTCTGGGTCCCGCAGCTGCACACAGATTGTAGAATCGCAGAATGGTTGTTGGATTGGAAAGGACCCCAAAGATCATTCAGTTACAACTGCCGGGTGATGCCTGCTGAGGGCAGAGGGAGCTCCACCAGGAGGGAGCTGCTAGGCTGCATCCAGGCCTGGGGCAGTGGGGGAGGAAGGCCTACAGCAGGCTCCTCTCTGTGGGGGATGTCAGATGGGGGCAAGTAGGGCCCTTCCAGCCGCTGCTGCCACCCAGGGAGAGGTGCTGATGGCAGTGGGAGGCTATGAGCTGGGGGAGCCTCGGCCTGGAGAGACGGGACCAGGCACACAGGCTGCAAATACCCTCCCCTTGCTCTCACCTCCTCCACTTCTCAGCCCTAGTTCCTTTCAGCCCACCCTTTGCTTTTCCTCCGGTATGAAAAATGTCCCTCCTGCTATCACTGATGACAGACAGTGTGATCTATTTGTTTTTAACTTGCAAAACAGCCAAATGACCACCATTCAAAATCCAGCTGCTAAATAGCTGCTGCAAGGCTGGTCGGATTGTCTGACCTAAAGCCTCCTCGCTTTGGTGTTGCTGTTTTGTGGCAAGCTGACACATGGAAATGATACACTAAAAATCCCGTTTGAGGCGATATTTTAAAAATGAGATCCTCGTTGGAGCTTCTGCCTTTGGTACAGGAAAAGCTGTAAAGCAATGAGCTGTTGCCCCTGGCTCTGGTTTGTGAAAAAATTTCTCCTTGACTTTGCACAGTTGCATCACGCATTGCAAATGGGATTGCTGTTTTTGGCACTGATCAAAGCAGCGGATTTCACTGGAGAAAACAACAGATGTGTCCAAACTGAAATGGCAGAGCATAAAAAAGCCCCAAATAAGGTGTGTCTCAGCTCCTGCTCCCTGCTCTGTGTTTTTCAGGTCACCTTCACCTTTCTGATTAGCTGAATCAAAGACCTGGACTTAAAATCAACCACTAAGACCGAAGCAACGTGAAGCTGGGATTTCTGCCTTGCCCAATGGGGCTCTGCAATATGTGTTGGAGAGCTCTGACTGCAGTTTCCCTTGCTCCTTTCCTTCGTGAAGCCAGGATGAGGCTCCCTGTTCAGGCAGTCCAGCGCTTTTTGCAAACAATATGTGGGAAACCACCCACCGCTATGTGCAAACACCTCCGAGGCACAGTGGAGCTCCCAGGTGACAGGCAGGGAGAAATCCCAGCCTCTGTCAGCCGATAGAATCCTGCTGATGCTCAGCCGGCCCTGCTGGTCTGAATTTATTTTTCAGAGCGTTTCCCAGTGCGCTCTGCCCCATGCCACCCTATGCATATCTGTGGGCTTCAATGGGGCTGAAGGAATGCGCCTAATTTGAACCCTAAGGTTTAAAGGTGATTCCTTTCCTTACAGCCTTCCTAATGGAATTACTCAACACCTGTAATTATATCACTAAAATAGTAAATATGAGTATTTCTGAGGGCTGTAACTGGTAGTTAGAGGAGTCCTGGTCTGCTCCTGACTCTCCTGTGAACTTCCTTTCATGCAGTGATCCCTGCACAACTGCAACATGCCTTTGCCTTCTCTGCCTCAGGACAAGGCATCCTGTTCGTGTCCTGGCTGGGGTGAGTTGTGATCAGGAAGTTCATCTTGCACCGTTCAGCAATGAGACGTGCTTGGGTTAAGCAGAAAAAAACTAATCATTCCCTAAAGGAGGAAGGGAAGTTTGTAGTGGAAACCCCCAAATTATTGTCTGGGGAGGTTTGCGAACCGATTCCAAAATGCTTATGGAAGTAAAAGCAAACACCTGTGCTCTGAAAGATTCCCTTATTAGAGAAAAAAGCTCTGAACGAGAAGAGAAATGATGAGAAAAAAAAAAGCCAACATTTTTCACATCTTTCTGCAGTAAGTCACACCTCTTGTGTTTGCGGTATACTGGGAAATTCATTTCCTTTCCTCCGCTGTTTTTCTTTTCTCAATTATTATTATTAAATACTTTTGCAGTTTCCCCAGCTGACAGCACAAGCAAACTCTGCTCTCCCTGAACTGTGCGCCTCGAGGCTGCCCAGCAAGTGCCTAAAGCCTCTTCCCTTCAACCTGTCACCTCGCACTGCTGGTAGCAAAGCGTCCCTCCAAGGTCTCAGCCACGCACCGAGTGTCTGTTGTGAGCGAATGGGGCAGGCGTGCTGGAATTGAAGGCTGCTGCGTGGCAAAGTGCAGGAAAGTGTTGGCTGCCTGGGATCATCCACCTGCCTCTGTGAACGTTAGACTCACCGACCTGGCTATGCAAAGAGAGGCCAGTGGGGCGAAGGTGGAATATGCATAGCTTCGTAGCACCAGTAAGTAAAGTAGGAATGGTGCGTTGTCGACCTGCAACTTTGCATCTGCCGAGAGTGGCTAATTAACGGCAGCCCTAATTGAAGTTGCTGTGGATTACCATGCTTCAGGCTCTCTGTTCCGAGAGCCTGCTCCAGACTTGCAGCCACAAGTCACCTTGGAGCGCTCCAAACCAGCACAAGGCAAACAGAAGGTAGAAAACTTTGTCTCGCTCATCACAGAAAGTGAAAGGTGGGGATAGTTGCAATCAAATTCAGTTCGTCACGTCCCTGCCTATAACAGAGGGATTGCAACTAGATGATCTTAAAGGTCTCTTCCAACCCAAACCATTCTATGACTCTGCGATTCTATGATTTTTTGTCTCGTACTTTTTGACTGGTGGTATTCCTTTCTCTCTCTTCCCCTTGATTGCAAAGCCTTGTGGGGTAAGAGTGCTGCATGGGCAGACTGTAGCTCTCCCTTGTTCTGGAGGGTTTGGAGGGCTGCCTGGCATTTGCTCTCTGTGTATTTCGTTCTCTGCAGGGCATTGCACTTTCTAGTCTCCTCTTTGGGGTAAGAATCACTACCTCTGTAGTGTATCTTCCGCACATCTGGGCTTCTCTAAAAAAAAGAGGTGGGCTGGGAGGTGCCCAGGACGAAGTTCAAATGGCCACACGTCAGCTCAGCAGAAAAGATGGGTAAACCTGAACTGCCAAAAAACAAACAGCACTGAAGAATTCGCACCCAAAGCTGGGTGTTTATCAGCAGAGACAGAAACCAGGCTGTGCAACGGGACAAGGGGGCAACCTTGGCTTTCCCTGCCGCCTTTAATAACTACTGCTGTCTTGAGAAAGTGCAAACAGAGCTCCTTAAACCCACCCCAACCTGGCAGGTCAGCTGAGGACATCTCATGGGTCTCCACGTTTAAAGGTGGACCATGACACCGTGTGTGTTTGTGAATGTGCATCTTCAGCTGGTTGAGAAAGGTGTCATTGAGAGGTCTTATGGAAAATGCTCTGTGAAACCCAGCTTGTGTCTCCTTGTTTCAATTCCTGACAGTGATGGACAGAAATGCAGCAATCCCATAGCACACATTTTGTGCAATTATTGAGGTTCCGAG